TCCACACACGCGCCTCACAAACTGGTGCGAGTCCCTGCCGATCTCCCTGGAGCGCAGAGAGGGTACTGCCCGCCATTCAGGGCCACGCAGGTCACGGAGCTCTGCTCCCAGCCACGCCTCCATAGCCTCATCATCGTCTTCGTCATCATCTTTCTGTTCATCTTCTTCTTCATCCTCATCGTCATCCTCATCTGAGCTGGTGGAGTGATTGGTGCTGCCACCAGGTCTATTCCTCTTTCTAGCTGCCCTTTTCCCACCATCTTTTTCCTTTGCTCTCTCCCGTCTGCCTCCCTCACTCTCTCTTTCCCCATCCTCAGTTAGGGAGTAAAGACCGCTGCCATCCATGCTGTCTGTGTCTTCTTCCTCATCTCCCTCTCTATTTGCCTCAGTCTCTGCTTCCGCATCTGGCATGGGCTTGTCTCCAGACGCCTCTACTGTTTCTCTGGGAGCTACAGAAATAGGGAAAGTCAGAGCCATGGAGGATAAGGTTAAGTCATTGCTGTTTCATTGGTAGATTAAAAAATGCTGCACAAATACTATTAGGCTGCAAATTTCTCTTTGAAGAAAACTCCAATAATGTTAGAAATATCAGAGTATACCTGCAGTAAAAGTGTCTGCATTTGAAATTTGAACATAGTTAAAAATATATTTAAGCAAAGTTTCTACCATACCATTTTTTTTCACAGGACAAGCTTTTTGAAGAGCTGTTAAACTGCAAGAATGGAGTTACCATCTAGAGAGGAAGACTGAGTTTGTCCCTCTTTGCTTCCAGAGGCATCTCCCTCCTTATTTTGCTCTTCTTCAGGTTCTTTTTCTTCAGAGCCACCTAGTAAACCCAAACATGTCCGCTGATTACCTGTCAGAGCTATGCAGAATGACAGCTGGCACAGTTATGGTCAGTATACATCGTCAGTAATTCTCTAGTACTGATGTTACCGTTAAGCGCAGTGGATTTGCAGTCAGCCTCAGCCATTCTGTCTCCTTTGTCCTGCGTCGACCCGAGGTACAACCTTTGAGTGTCACACACAAAAGCAATATTTAGGTTGTTTATTCACAAGGGTTCAAATATAGGAACAGACACCTTGTACAATAAGTGAGCCGAGACGATCGCTTGCAGTCGCTGAACTGTACTCCACTGGTTAAATTACCTGTTAGCTCCGTAGCTTCCAAACTAACAGCCTGGCTAATTTACTAATTATCTACCGCTGCCTGTAGCGAGATAAACAAACTAACTTGATTGCTAGCTGGCTCACAGGCCTTACTAATGCTCGATTTTGCTTTGTGATGTTTTACAGTGCATTGTCCTCTGCGGTGCTCGACAACCCGACACTTTTATTAACGTGAGCTAATGCTAACTGTGAAGCTAACAAATATCGAAACTAAAACACTACTGTTAGCCCTAACTTAACAACCGAGCAGCTGGTTGTCAAAAAGCGAGCACGCAGCTAGCGTTTCGTGTAGTGGCTAACTAGCATAGCTTAGGTTATTACCTCTACTCGAAGGCCCGACGAGGCGTACTTCTTAGTTTAGTCCTAATCTTTATTGCAGATTTATTTTCTCCACCTCACTGCTTAGCAAGTGAGCTAAGTGCCTTGACTAGGAATTCTCTGGCGGTTAATACACGACATTAGGAATGCGTACATAAAGGGTCTTTGTAAAAGAGAGACTATTTAAAGCAAGCTTGCTGCGTCCACACAAGGTTGACTGCTCTGTTTATGTTTTGACGGTTCAGCTTCTTTTTTTTTTCTGTGTTTCCATTTCCGGTGTCGTGCTCGCTTCGTTTTTTTTTCTCCGGAAGTTTACAGAGGAGAAACGCGAGGCCAAATAACAACAACAAGAACTACAGTACAATAGTAATAATAATAATGCTAATATGCATATTCTGAAATGTATCACCTATTTGCATAGACTGTATATAAAAAGCCTATTTGTTATTGTAGGCATGCCTTATTTTAAATAATTTAACAAAGTCCACATTAATCCATCTTAGAATTTCATTTATTTTGCTGGGCCCCTCCTCCCATTCTCTCAGCAACATGTACAGTGGGAATATGCATATATTAGCACAAAACTGAATAATGAAGGGCTTAAAACTACATTTTTACAGAGACTTTCTCACCTGCTCAAAGTCAGGATCACATTATCAGGCCGGGTCTGCCTTAAAACCTGCATTAACAGTTTTTTTGGTCACTTGGGGGCAGCAACAAGCTGTAAACAAAACACTGACATCACCTTATAAAATTGTGTCAACAGAACAGAAAATTCATCCAGACCCGAAGAAGAAGTTCAAGGTGAGAAATGTGCAGGTTGATTTTTAGCATTTAAACTGCTTACGCAATTCTTATCAGTTCTTGTTAAGTTGGAGTTCATTTTAATAACCCAGGCTAAATCATTTACCAAAGTATAATGTTCTTGCTAACTATTTGACCCTGAGTAGCAGCTCTCACAGTAATGTTAGCTTGTTACTTTAAGTTTTTGTCGGTTTGCACAGAAAGTGATTCAGAGTTTTTGTACAACATTACTTTGTAATGCCATGACATGGTGTAACTTATTAAATACACACATGCACCTTATTGTCATTAACAACATTGCGCTGCAACGCCATTAAAAAACAGCAGGTTGTCAGCCCATCCACCGCTCCAGTTTGTTGTAGCACAGATGATGCACAGTAGGCCCTTCATTCTCAAACACATTCTCAACTCCTGAGGTTAATGGTCTCTGTGGTTTTTTAGCTACAAAATGCGCCACTATGTTTACCAGCTAGCTGCTAACTCTGTCTGTCATTTACGCTGGACTTGTGGCATACAGTGGATTTGTAAGAGCTCTTTTTTTTCTTTCTGAAAATGGTTGCCTGCCGCAGGTGGAAATGGAGTTGATGCTGGTGGGACTGAACAAAAACAGTAGCATTGCAGATCTGAAAACCAAAACTGTGAAAGTTGCTAAAGCACACAGCTGAGAAACCTATGAACGCTATGAGCTGGGAACTGTAGAGTCAGGTGACAATCCTCTGTGGGGTTTTCATTACAAGTAACCACTTTCACATTACACATACTAAGTTGGTGCATTCTTAATATAAAAATATTGTTTAGTACAGCTTTAAAAAACATTTCACATGAATTTTTCTTTGTGTCACTTTGAGCAGATGCCCACCTTGCCCAGTTGATATCCTTCCTTGATTTCATTCAGTTATTATCTTCTACCTCTAGAGTCTTACCTTGTTGCTAAAAGTAAATTTCCTACTATAAGCTCTATTAATAACATCCAATTAACCAGTTCTTGTATAACCTCAGCTAAGGGACACTTCACAAAATGTCTCATTTTAGCTAATGCTAATTTTAGCTAATGCTTATGAGTTGTTGTCCTCAATATATTTTCAGGGAAATTATATGATATTGTACACAGTATTGGATTTGTGCTATCGTGCATGCATTTGCATTGTATTATAGTGATTTATTTTTGTATTTAAGAAATCCATAGAGCAAGTTTTCCTGCTTACTCACTCTTGAAGTTGGAATGAATGAGTCTGCTCAATTTCAAAGGAAACATCTGGCTCCCTCAGAGAGGGTGAAACAAGATGGGATCCCCCAGCTTCCTTCCTGTGTTTATGTCGTAGGTTTAGATCCTCTCTGTCCTTTTCGCTGAAACTGTTATATCTCTTGATTCTTTCCTATCTGGTTTAACTTATGACTATTGTGAAACAGATCCCAGCTTCCCAACATACATGCCACAAAGAGCTCTGATTATAGTTACTTGTCCAAGCTGCTGATAATCCACATGGAATGTCAGCTGAGATGGGAGACTGGGACGACTAAACAGAGCTACACTGTATATGAATGACAAAATAAGTGCTTTCGACTTTCTACTTCTACTCCACTACATCTCAGAGGGAGATATTGTACTTTTTACTTCACTACATTTATCTAGCAGCTTCAGTTACTAGTTACTTTACAAAGTAGCCTAAGATTTTTTACGCACAAAGAGTTTATATGTACAGCTAGTATTTTGTTGATTGACAGAAATTTAATTGGCAACTATTTTGATATTGTTTAAGTAATTTCCTGGTTCCAGTTTCACAAATGTGAAGATTTGCTGTTTTTCCTTTTGATTATTTTAATGTTTTTTAAAGTCATTTTGAAATTTAGACTGACAAAACAAGCACTGTGAAGGTGTCACTCTGGGCAACTGTGACGTTTCTTTTTTTTTTTTTATAATCAATTTAAAATAATCAGCGGATTAATCTATAACGAAAATAGTCACTAATTGCTGTCTGAACAGTTCAACCTCAACAGTTAAAACCATTTACATTAATGAATAAATACATTTAATAATATAATAGTATAACTGTCACAGGGGATGTTTTTCTTTCTGCTTTGAGTATTTTACTTTTAATACTTTAATTAGCCTACATGTTCCTGATTATACTTACATACTTTTACTTTTACTTAGGCTACTAAACTCATATGTCATCCACTACTGCAATGAATACATCACCTAAGTCATTTATCAACCAAATTGACATATATTTGCTGGTTACAACTTATCTTACCTTATTATAAATTTAGGCCTAATATTTTTAGGTTTTGGATGGTTGGTCAGAGAAGTCATTTGAAGATGGGCTCTGGAACATGTGATATGCTTTTTTTCTTTACTATTTTCTGAGTTTATAGCCAATCATTCAGAACAAATTTATATAATTATTAAAGATTAGTTGCATGCCTAAAGGTAAAATGAAACCCACATCCATATAGGTATGAAATGATAGTTTTACTTGCTGAAGTTGGAGCTTGGTAGGCCTATATAACGTCAAAACTGGTAACCTTGGCATCAGGTTACTTAACCAGCGTTGATTCTTCTGACATGTCAAAAACAGAGGCTTCACAAAGATTGGGTTTTGCCTGGCTTGTTTCATTAGATTCTGCAGGCGCATAAACTGGCAATTGATTGCAGAAGTAAAAGGGAAATGTAGTTTTAAAAAAATCAGTGAGAGTTGCGACCACCTCTGTGGAAATATGACAGAAGAAGGAAGAGGAAGTTGACAGACAGAGGGGGTTTCACGGCAGCTAACCCCAGCTGTGCAGAGCTCATAAGCTGCAGCAGCTGTCTCTGTCCTCCAGAGGAAGAGCTGGAGTTTGGAGAGACGTGCGGACTGCGCTGAGAGCCGCCACCATGCCGCGCACAGGCTTAAATTAGGGACAAAGTTTTCTGGCATTATTCAGTTGTTATCACCGCTCTCTGACAACATGGAGTACTGGAGGCAGTGTGCTATGTGGCTGATCAGCTGCAACGTGCTGCCCCCGAACCACCGGGTGACTGCGGACATGGCGCAGGTGTTCGACCTGGCGCAAACCCTGCGGGACGGGGTGCTGCTGTGCCAGCTGCTCAACAACTTGAAACCTCACACCATCAACCTGAAGGAGATCAATCTCAGGCCACAGATGTCGCAGGTATTGACCAGTACTTTTTGCGCTGCTTTCAAAGCAACTTGTGGTTGTAACGTGTGCGGAAGAACCGCAAAACTGCTTCAAATGAATAGGCTATTTCAGTAATAACAGTAATACTGTAGTGTAGTGTGAGATTGAACGATTGTCGGTCAATTACTTATTAACAAGGTAAATCGGTTGAAGAAACAAAATCATTGCCACTTGTGCTTATGAGTAGTGACTTTACAATGTGTTGTACATAGCCTATACATAGGCCAAGTCTAGGTAGACTAACAGCCACAAGCTGGCAGCTGCTTTTCAAGAAATAACTGTGGGAGATAAACACACCACCACAAAAATTAATCTAGGGTCTAAGTTAGCATATCTTAATTTTTTGTTTTGTTAAAACGCCTGAAGGCAACAACACACATTATGATTCATGAGCCAGTTGTTCCAGAGTTCTTAAAAGTTGGATGCAGATGTCTGAGAGTCATTTAGGTTTAGGTCCCTTTAGGTTATTTCATGATTTCATTATAGATCAGTAAATTGCCAAGAATTGCCCATAAGGCATCCTTTTGATCATTTCCCATATGTCACACATGTCCATAATTTGGGAACACATAGGCCGACTTTCTCATCCAGTACTGTGTCAAACTGATAAGTGTTACTGTAAACATTTTAGAAAATAAGGCACAGAGTGACTCATTTGGAGATTATCATCTGATGTGAACACATCATTAGTTTACTTCTTCTAAATATGATAATTAATCCAAACACATTAATCCAAACATATGAGTTACTGCTCATTTCTACATGTCTATTTAAAAAATAAAATAAAAAAATCATACTTCAAGCAATTAAATCTCTTTTTGATTAACTGCTAAATGTCCCTCAGCCTGTGAAACCCAAAGGAATGGTTCCAAGGCTTGGCCTCTCTTTACCCAAAGTTTTTCTCTGTACCACTAGAGAGAACTGATAAAATCCTGGCTTTGATCCACCCATTAGTCAGGGAACTTTTACTATGTGAGCAGCAGCTTGTTTGCTTGCCACTGAGTATGAAACCTTATAACGTGTAGTTAGTCATTATGAGACTTTGCGAATCTCCTTAGATCTCCTTAAATAAACTCATCTAAAAAAGATGTGGTTAGCAAAATTCTTATTAATAATGTTCATACTTTTTGTAATATGTCACCATAAGAACAAGACTTCCTGTTCAACTAGTACCTACTTAATTTAGAGAGCATTGCATGCCATTAGATCTTTATCAGGCGTTCTTACAAGTGTGACAGATGTGTCAGCTAGTTAGACTCTGACTGTGTTTGATTCCAAGTAATCTTCAACATACTTTCTTGAATCTTAACCTATTGTGGTCAAATTACCCATTCATTTAAAAAAAGGCCATGATATTAAGCACACACAAAAAGTTTTAACATAGATTTAAAGATTTGTTACTGGGCTTCACACGGTTAGTTTTTGAGTGATGAGATTAAACTTTTTTTTTGTTGTCACAAAAGTATGATTGAAATTATGCGTCACCACAGATTCCTTCATTTTGTTTTTCATCAAAGAATCAATTTTAATTTTACCGTCCACTAGCTACCATAATATATAATATATATAATATAATATACCATAATAAACTAATGTTTCCTTTAAAAGATCTTTGCTTCTGTAATAAATAGAAGCCATTCTCCTAGCAGGGCATTAGAAATTTCGCTCTGTATTAAAAACTGCAGTGTTGTGTATGTTCTCTGTCAGTGCACGTCCACTCGTCTTTTATATTCTTGATAGACAGTGAAAGCAAACCCAGGGCATAACTTGCTGAACAATGGCTAGCCATAGCCCACAGCTGTAGGCCATCTGAATATGGTCGAGAAAGGCATGTGTGTCAGTGGCCTTCAGATTTTAAAAATCCCTTTCATTGTGCCCCGCTGACCTACGATCTTAGAAATGGAATCAACAGCATGAAGGTAATGGACTGGAGGGCGAGTGTGCAGTGTACTGTGATGAAAATGCACCCAGAAGTGCTCTTTCTATCAGACTGTATGCTAGGCCATGGTGCTAATACAAACCATGGAGTGTGACAAATTCTTATGTATGGATCACAAATAAATAGAACCTCAATATCATTTCTGCTTTTTTTTAAAGTTATTTATTTTGTAGCGAAAATGAGAAAACAACTGAAACTCAAAGAAGATCTTTCAAGAGAGACTACAGCCTCAGACAAATCACTGCTGTCAAACATCAATATACATGCATATGTGCACAAATAAGATAATAAATAATGTCAGTAGTTAGTTCAAGATAAAATGAACAGGAACAAAATCCCAACAAAACACAGCATCAAGCAACCTTTTATTAGCCCTCCTGGGGATCCTTAATAGTCATTTTAAACATACTGTACCAAGAAAGCTGCACCTTTACTTTATACTGTTTCATCTGCGAAGCCAAAGGTGCAGTGTATATTGCACCAGGGTTGTGACTGTAATCTGGAGTATGTGGCTGGTGGTGGTGCAAAGCCATCATGTTCGTGCACTTCCTCCACAGACAAACAGGGCCCCAGGGGGCGGTGGAGTGATTACAGGCGTCTCCACGATGAGCTGACGTGATAAAAGGCAGCCTATCTATTCTCAAGAATCTTGTCACAGCTCTGTAAATAATCACAAATGCCTAGATTCTAGTTTAGTCATCACTTAATAATGTGCAAATTATGCCGGTACATTTGTTAACTGCTTGTTTCCTGGGTGTTTTTAGTGGAAGTGGCCCAAGTTTGACTCAGACCCTAACCCATACCCATAAGCTGTTGTTCGACTGCACTCTTCCCACTGAGACGCAGATCCTAATAGGAAGTGACACTAAAAGAGCACACGCACAGTGGTTTCATTTCGCACAGTGAAACTTTCAGTTTTCATTTTCAGTTTGCTGTATGTGTGTGTGCATGTGAGAGTGGATCACCTTCACTTTATTTGGTCCCCCCCCCCCCTCACACACACACACGTTTCAGCTTGCTTTGGTGGAATCTAGCCAAGCAGAATCAGACTGATATCTGTCTGAAATTTCTGCAATGGAGGCACATTATAGTGCTCTAACATTCGAAGGCAGTATCTCTTTTTTTTGAAAAAAACATCACTGTTACTCAACAGAGGCAGTCAACAGATCAACATATCATAGGGACGGTTTCTTTAGTAAAAAGTAATTTCAATGAATATTTGTAATTTAACTGACATATGTAGCCCTCAAAATCTGGGCAGTTGTAATTTAGGTACTTTTGGCACCATTTCACTTTGCATGGTCCAGGTGGTGGTATTCAAACAATGCTATTTTAGGGTAGATAAAGTAGAAGTGCATCACATTGTCATTGACAGCAAAAAAGCCTTTTCTTTTGCTGCTTTTTATATATATTTTTTCTTTTGCTGTAATTTGGGGTAACGGACACATTAACGTTATTCCTAGAATTCTGGAAAAATTAAATGACCATTTTGCCAATTTGTCCCTAAAATGACTCTAGAAAATGGGGGGGAAGAAATGCCACAGTAGACAAAGGATACCAAATTGATTTGTCTTTTTTTGCCCTTTGCAGTTCCTGTGCTTGAAGAACATTCGCACATTCTTAACGTCTTGCTGTGTGGTGTTTGGAATGAAAAAAAGTGACTTATTTGAAGCCTTCGATCTCTTCGATGTTCGAGATTTTGGAAAGGTAACACCCACATCCGTCATTGTTTTTCTGTCACAACACATGATATTGTGTTTTCGTGTATGATGCTACGCTCCAACAATGGTCAGATTACTCTGTCCTGCTCTTTTCTGTTCTCCTTCCTTCTTTCAGCTGCCTTCTTATCTAGTTGCAGCAATATGAAAGTCTTGATCTAGCACCTTTTCAAACTGTTACAATGAAATCAGTTTGAGTGAGCACATTATTAGATTCATGTGCCAGCTATTACAGCTGAGCGATGATCATGATTGTGCTACTGTCTGTCTAATCAGTAGTGCATGTTACAGTCTTTTTCCATGGCTCAGACTTTGTAGTTAGAAACAACAGGGGTGACATAAACATCAAATATGTGTTCCAGTTTGCAAAATGGCAAATTAGTGTTGTATTGCCAAAACTCTTCTTCCATCAAGAAAATCTCATAACATGGACACATCAACTCCTTGGTTTGCAGCAGCGATTATTCAGATGCAATGAAAACAGTTAAATGAACCAAATCTTAGGTAAAGTCTATTTTTTGAGAACATTGTGTGAAATCTTCACTCAGTACATGCACTTGCGTTAAAGGTTTTTGCAAACTGTTCTCTATAGTGTATGTGATGTGCAAAAAGTTCATAAACAGAACTAGAAATCATTAAACATTAACTGAATGGACATCACTGCATTTGCAATCTGCATCTGTACACTGTAGAAAAATGGTAGTACATCGGACTGTGTGTACATCCAGTCACACATTCAGATGCATGTAACATAATAAGACCCACATGACATAGAGCTAGTCAGAGGTGTGATGTCTTTTCCTCTGATTGAGGCTGCCCGTTGCCTGGTCTTGCATTTTTCCGGTGCACTTCTTAAGGGCTTGGTTGACTTCTATTGTTACTGTGTGAGCTGATTTCACTGTGTGTACACAGTGTTACCAGGTCAGTGGGTTTGTAGTGCACTCCTCCTAGCCAGACTCGCAGGAGCCTGATTGAACCCCGCTGAGGAAAGCACACTCACTCTGACCAGCCTTATTCCCATATTCCCTTAGTTCAATGCATAACTTTGCCTTGGAGCATTAGGAGCTGTCTGAGTATCTCTGTGGTATCCACAGGGAAATACATTAATTTTGTCTCTAACCATTTAACTATTAGAATATGTTTTCTATGTATTAATCTGTACTGAATATATGTATTTTTTAATTCATCTAAAATACTGAAGATTAAGTCTTCTGAAGGGTTATCATCATTTCAAAATGGTTTAAATTGGGTACACTACTATACCTCATGTGCAATAATTTCTTTTTATAAATCCAATTAGTTTGTCAGAGTAGATATGGTATCTGTTTTAAATAATGTATACAGTATTGCAGGCGGTTTGAGAACTCCAGGTATATTTTGTTTATGTGCGAGCAAATTTTAATTGAAAGAAATGTTCTTCAAACAAAAGGTATATCAAAAGTCAGGGATATTTTACATGACTAAAATGTTCAAGTCACTTCCCCAGAGTAAATAGACGGTGGTTACTGGTTCTCTGTAACTGTGACGGACTGTATTTTGAGTTTGCGTGCAGTTTCCCACAGAGACTCTCTTTTCTTTCAGTTCAGTGTGTTGTGTTCTAAAGAAGCTTCCAGTTAATCTGGCTGCTGATAATCCCACAGGGGAGGTGCTGCCTGCAAATATGTACAGTACATCCAAGCTGGGCTGCATAATCTCAAATCGTGTTCAAGGGTTGTCCATCAAACAAACAAGCTTCCGGAGCAGGAAGATTGCTCTGTTAGTTAAAAATACGGGTGTCTGAAGGTTCAGCGATTGGGTTGGATTGGCTCCAGGAGGCGTTGTACAGCTGAACATGAAATACTCAATCTCTTCCTTATTTTCCAGAAAACATTGAAAAGAGAACATCTCAAATCTCAGCCAGTCTAATCCACTTGGGCATGAGTTGTGCCAACTCTGCCCGTAGACTGAGCATTAGTCCACTGAATATCTAATGAGAGCTCTCTAACCTACATTCCTCTGCTGAATTACTACAGGCTTCTCCCTGGGCAGCCACGCTGACTGCATGAAGCTGCCTGGTGGCCGGAGAGAATATAGGGAGGAGGCAAAACATTTTTAAATTTCTTCTCTGAATATAAAATTACTTCAGCCTTGACTGTAAAAGCAAAGGTTGTCTTACTAAAAGTGAAAAGAGAAGGGCATTTTACAATTGAAAAAATGGCTACTGTTTTTTCTTCTGCTTAAAGAAATAATTAATTGTTGCTCTTATTTGCTTTCTTGCCAAGAGTTAGGTGAGAATAGATACCACTCGTGTGTGTGTGCGGTAAATATGAAGCTATAGCTACAGGCGACTTCCTGAGCTTAGCATAAAGACTGGAAACAGGAGGAAACAGCTAGCCTGGCTCTGTCCGAAGGTAACAAATCCACCTCATCCTCTGAAGCTCACTAACGGTATATCTAGTTTGTTTGATCTCCTGGAGTCAACATCGGTTGCCTGCCCGGAAATTACTTTGCCCGGTCAAGAAACAGTTCGGCACATAACCCCCTCCTCATAGAGCCAAAATGTGCTGTTTTTATGCTTCGGTTTTTGTACAGATCAAACAAAAGAGATACCTAAGTTAACTTGCTGTGTGTCTGAAGTTGTTTAAAGTGAAACCCTATAGGATTTAACTAGTTTGTTGTTAATATGTGTAAATGCTACTGTACAATTCTAGTTAACAAAATAACAGAGAGTCAAACATGCACATATGATTTATGACATTATGTTACAACATCTCTACCATTTGCTTTCTTTTTTTAATGGCACTCTGGGGATTTTTGATATACTGTGTGAAGGGGCCACACTCACCATGGCGGTTGGACTTCAGCTCAGCTTGTGGCTTTACTTGTCACGTGTGGCTTAAACTAAGTGTCAGATCATCAGACTAGTCAGGTCTGAGCTGGTTTTTAAGACAAGTAGAAGGATTTACAATTCATTACACAAAGTAAACAAATATTAGATTTGTTTCAGCGTATTTATACAGGTTCTTCCTTCTCTTTTGAACTACTTATATTCTATTCAACTGAACCTCTGCATCACATTTCTTGAATCAGGTGACATGTGACCTTTAGGACCGGAGTGTGTGTGTTGGGTGTCTAGTTGTGGAATAATGACACACAGCAAAATATTACATTTCAAATGAAAAAGTCATGTCACTTCAAAGGCAGATTTTTTTGTTTTGTTTCAGAAAAGACATAATTTCAACTGCTCTAAATAACTTGAAGAAGTTTTAAAGCTGGTATCTCACACTACAAACAGGACTCTTTCAAGTCACAAGCACACCTGGGTTCAGCCAAAGCCACAGCACTCATTCACACAGGAAGAGGAGACAGGCTGTTCACATATCTAACCCCATCAACTATCGTTTTTAACCATGCCTGCATATCCAAATCCTGAGAACAGAGTCATTTGTAGTGTTGTTACTTAAAGCTTCTTCATACCAAGCAGATAAATGAGAAAGTGAGAGGGTTAATAATTCAATAGATGCAATAATGAAATTATTAAATTTTCTGTGTTGTAATGACACATAAAAGACATGGCGCGCAGTCTTCTTAATGCATGCATCATGATTTTTATATTTTTTACTTCAGCCGACATCATATCATCCCCATCTGACATGCATAACATTTCCTTTCACTATTTCTCCCATAGAATCTACAGACTGCACTGTATGCACTGTCAATACTGTATGTCCGAACCATCGACCAGGATTGATTGATTACAACATCCTGTGGTTCATCTGTTTGGTCAGTAATGATCTCGTATCTGAGGATTATTATAGCACAGTTTTAGTTTGCTGGAATTCAAATCCACTTTCATTCATGTTAGCAGAATTCAGACACATAATTGTACAGCTAGACTAATTCATGACTGCACACAGGGAAAAATCACACTTGTTCATTGCTTGAATGCAAGTATGAACATTCATGCATTAGCTGTGTATTTTTTTCCCACATGTAAAACTATGTATTTTCTTTACTTAAAATGTGACTGAAAAAAGTGACTTTCAATTTACAAAAGTCAGGACATTTTCATTTTGAAAATATTTTAAATTGGCAAAGAAAGGTAGAGGTGTTTCGTATATTAGTTGTCGTTTAGATCTGTTGTCTATCTCATACACCCCCACCACCACACACAGACACAAACACACACACACAAACACACAAAGTTGTTAGAGTCTGAGGTAAAGTGACCATTTCCTGCAGACCATGTCTTTGTTTGTCTGAGTTTTATTTATTGGCATGATCCTAAGGGAGTACGTTTTTGCCAAACAGGTTGTACAACATTTATGTTTTAAGCATAATATTGTGCAATGTAAGAAATAAAGGACAACAAATGGTTGGCACATAAGTACAGAACATCGCTATTTAACAGAGAGGAGTCTGATTTTGAAGGAGCATACGGTGTTCTGCTGGTTTTAACTCAGGGTATACTTTGCGCTGATATATTTTGTCGCTACCTTTGCAAATACTGATTTTTGTATGGCCTGAAAGTGAATCAAATTCTTGGTACTTGAGTCTTAGTTTGCTAAAATAATCTGTTGTGGCTACCATTTTTATGCCTTTTATTAGATTGTGATGAGATGACAGGAAATGAAGAAGAGAGACAAGCAGCAAAGTTTCCCAGCTGGATTTGTACAGGCAACATTCTGGTTCATGGCTGGTATCTTAACTCCTAAGCCACAGGGACACCCCAACTTTGCAATTTCATAGTGGTTTCATGTGTTGAATAAATAAATGTTGAGACATTTGTTAGTGTTAAGTGTCCAGCCGATCAACAGTTCAATAGTTGTTGCTAAGGTTACACATGTTTCATATAGGGATGTTAAGTCATCGTTAGTGTGTTTATTGGTGGCTGCTACATGGTTTCTGTGGCCTTTGGAATTATTACGAGGATGTGGTTGGTACACGGTTGCCTAGTGTTACGTTGTTACTTTGTGGTAAATATAGTATTCAAGTTATTTGTCAGGGCGATTGCAGTGGTTGCTGCTGCATTGTTCAGGTTACTGGACAACTCAAATACAAATACTGTGCATTAACTATACCCATTAAATATGAGTTTAATCAGATTCATTCATTGACTAGGTGGTATCCATATTTGTTTGGTTTTCAGGCACTGTGGTATTACAGTATTAAGCAGCTTTTTATGTAATGCTACTGATATTTTTGTATGACTGAAACACGGTTAAAAGCAGAGGAATACAGTGCGACAGTGAGATAATTTCTTCTATAGTATTCATCCTGTGGGGAGTTTTCCACTTCGAAACCGTAATATTATGTATTGACAAGCATCAGCTTACTTTGTTTCTCATAGTTTATCGTTCTACTAAACCTAATAGCATTGTTATCTCAGAATTCTCATGCCTGCTCTCTCTGCTTCTATCTAATTTTGACCGGGTCCGTATTATTGGTGATTTTGATATTCACATATGTTGTCCTAGTGATGCACTTTCTGGGGAATTTCTAAAGCTCCTACAGTCTTTTAATTTTGTCTTACACCCAACAGGGCCAATACAGGCCCGCTCGCATCATTAACTCAACAACAGCTTGTAAATTTTCGAATGTATATTTGGCCCTGTCATCAGAACTGTCTCTGCCACTGACTTCCTGGTGAACTCCTTTAACAACCTCTGTCTGACAATAATGAACTCGGTTCAGTTAATTTCAAAATTCTCACCATGGTTCAATGATCACACTCACTCCCTAAAGATTGAGGTACGGAAAGCTCAGAGCGCAAACTTTATGATTACTATGAGTACATGAAGACCTTAAAATAAAAAAAATACACTTCAGTCAATGATGCACCAGCAACTAACTATTCCACCTTGATTGATAAAAATGCCCCAAACCCAGAAATATTGTTTAAAGCAACGAGATTTTTGGTTCCCCTCCTAACACTAACTTGCTTGCATCATTTGACCTCTGCGAGCATATTAAAATATTTTTACTGAAAAAATTCTAAAAATCAGATCCTATACTGCTAGCAGCTGGCCCCACAATTGATCTGTTTCAGAGGCTTTAACCCACAGACCATGTGTTGTTGTTTCCTTCAGTTCCTTTTGAATCAATGTCTCTTTCCGCCCTCAATGACATGTTGACCTGTTCATCTTGGCTATTGTAAATAGCTTCTTGACATCCAGCTCTGTCCCCACTTGTTTTAAAACTGATCTGATCGAACCTCTCCTGAAAAAAAATAAATTGAGATCCCTCCATCTTGAATAATTACAGACCTGTTTCAAAATTGGCAAATGTCCTTGAGAAAGCTATATTCAAACAATCAGTGGCACATCATATAAAATTCTTCGAATTACTTCTAAGGCCAGGCATGGGCTGGTACCTTCCTATAGCTCTGAGATTTTATCCCCCTGTGAGCCAGGATGCAGGCTACACTCATAGAGTATGTCTCTGGTTTTATCTTACTTATTAAGACACATTTCTATGAAGTAACTTTCACTGTTTGATTTCTAATGTATTTTTCCTATATTTGCTGACTTGTTTATTAGTCAGTAGTTACTACTGTACTGCTACTATATGTAAAACAATTTATATTTGACTTGTTTGTATTTTACACTGATTGTTGTAAAGCAGTTTGTTAACTGTATTAAAAAGTGCTATGCAAATAAAGCTGCTATTATTATTATTATTATTATTGTAAGGTTCTGGATGTTGACGTGAATGCTATTTACAAGTCAGAAACTGGTAATTACAAAAGCTCTGATATGATATGAATGCGGCATTATCAAAGCAGGTCTCTTTCTTCAGTCTCTCACATGTCTGTCCCTTTCCTCTCCCGCTCTCTTAACTTTATGCCTGAGCCATTCTAAAACATGAATTAACGCACCTTTTTTCACCAGGTTATGGACACGCTATCGAAGCTGTCTAACACAGCAATTGCACAGCAAGGAGGATTTAAGTAAGTCTCCCAATATTAAAAACAAACAAACAGACTTATAAGGTATATTAGTTTTTATGATATAATATGTAAATAAACCAGAGAAAAAAATAACTTCATTGAGAGACAGAAAGGGAATACATCAGGATGTTCAGCCTGTAACTTTCTTAGGAGTAAACCATTTTAAGAATTTTTTTTTACCATGATGCGGAATTTTCTTTCTTTTTATTTTAATATGTTCCATATTTATTTTTTTATTTTTGCGCCCCTAATCATTTTCTGGCATCCACTGATTGTGATAATGGTAGGGTCTCCATCTCAATAAAATGAGGCTTGTGACCCCAATTTCTGATATTCAAGGTGCCCAATTTCTGTCCTTTTTTGCTACATGAAAGCATATCAAGCTATTGGATGGGCTTTTGGATATGCATGCTGGATATTTGAATACATTTTAATGCATCAGAAATTCCTTTCCTGCCCTAAGTCACTCAAGTATAGAGTGATTTTTCTGTTAAACACTGAGCCTCACGCTTATTTTTCTGTCATATCCAGGCCATTCCCAACCGAGGAAAGCCTAAAAGACGAGGACATTTACAATAATCTGGAAGACTTGATTGAGTATGTATGAGACTCCTCTCTCTGCGTGCCCATTACTGGTGTTGATAGAACATGATTATTTTACTCAGTAGCAGAACCAGCTCTACTCATCATCTATGCTCTCCAGGGGTCTGGACACCCACATGTTTTGGTAAAAGGCTTGGCTCTGTTTCTCTGTTACTGTCAGAGGGAACAAATGAGTAATTCATGTTGGTGTTAAGTGCTTGCATACACCCACATAAAGGCGTGATGGGTGGTTGCTGTAGACAGATTGATAGATGAAGACGAACAAGGGTAACCAAATATAACAGATACAATATTTATATTATTTGTTTGTCAACACGTTTTGTTTGAATGATGCATTATACCCTTCTGAAGTATTTCATTCACTAATTCATGCAGTAATGAGTAGTTAATAAAGAGTTTATAAATATGAGAAAAAGAGCAACAAAGAGCATATATTGATTATTCATACATTATTGCATTAACCCATTGTTTTAAATTATTCTTGAAGACAATTTTTTAATCACTGTACTGAAAGGAAGTAATTGGTTACTGATAATCCACATGTTTTAGAGATGTTAATATGCGTCTGTGCTCATGGTTGTGTGTATGTGATAGTGAGAATGCCCCAGAGGATGAGGACGACTTGTATGCGGCGGTCTATGGGCTGGAAGAAGACTATGCAGGTGGAGAAATCTATGAAGATCTCATGAGGACTGAACAGCAACCCCCATTGGTACTGCGATGAGTCACAATCTCACACACACACACACACACACACACACACACACACACACACACACACACAGTCAGTGTTGTGCAGAATACCTTCAAATAGCATATTGAATATTTCAATGTCAGTTTCAGCTTCTCACCTGGTACAATTAAGTGGATGAGATCGACTTCTGTTACTCAACACCATATCTTTAAGCTGAGACTATTTACTTCAATAATAGTACCAATACATTACATAATGTAAAAATACTAATTACAAGTAAAAATAGAGCATTCAAAATTATACTTGTAAATGTATAGATGATCCTCAAATGTACTTTGAACATATCAAAATTACCCCTCGCAGGGTGGTATATTATTATTTATCATATTGCTCCCTCTTAGTAACATCAGAGACATTATATATAGGAGACATGCCACTTTAAGAATCTTCAGTAACGCCAAAGATAGCGGTTGTCCTGCCCCTCCTGCTAGAAAGCCAATCGTCTTCTTTTAACAGCAGAGGCGGGAAACATATTTCAGCCAATTGTGTACTGCGCATGCATCACTACTACTACGCAGTAGAAGTATAACTGGCCGGGAAAAATCCTTTTTAAACCTTATTTTGAAGCAAAGTCGTCAACCTTTTTCAGCAATTTTTATCAGATTTTATTGCTGATTCCAGTCATGTAGTTTTTATGTCTCGTTGACCAGTAAAAGTGCAGTTCTGGCTCTCTCCCCATTCATTCAGATAGGAGCCTGGTCTTGTTAGTCTGAAATAGCTGCCCGGAGGCATTGCGAAGATGTCTGCAGAGATGCATGACTTGCCCATAAGGACTGGTAATATCACCTGCAAATGCAATGTACAGTTACACACAGCTCTATATCCCAATCAGACTCTGCAGTCAGTCTAACACTGCAACCCTTCACAATTGCCTTGCTGAAATAAAATCCTGGATGTCACACAACTTAACCTCTACAACTAAACCTTACAAAATCTGATGTCACTGTACACGGTCCCCCTGCTATCAGAATTCAAATCATGTCAAACCCAAGCAAACTAGCAACTTATAATAATTCCTCTGAACTCTTAGGGGAGTTTTTGACTAGGACGTGAGTGTTTTGAATCCCATCTAAAGAAAGTTGTCAAGTTATGTTTTTAAAAAATACAGTCACGGTTAAGTTTTTTATTTCAACCACAGATCTGGAGAAACTTATGCATTTTGTTATGCATCATCTTTTTATCTTCCCCTGCCTCAACGATTGTGACTCAGTATATGCCTGTACTCAGTCAGAAATCAGTTCATTGCAGCTATTCTTTTAGGATTGATTTTGAAATAATACCTTATATATGTATATATGTACCTTATTATATGTTATATCTACCAGAGTAGATTAGGCTTGCAGAATCTGTTCTCATTTTAATCTCACTTCTTAAGACACATTTTTCAAGAAAAGCTTTGACTGTGTTGCATATTTAGTTTTTCCTTTTATTTATATTGACTTGTTTAGGTATTATATACTGATTGTTGAAAAGCACCTTGTTACCTGTAGTGAAAAGTGCTATCCAAATAATGCTGTGACCAGCATTTAAGTACGGTAGCTAGTTCAGGTGGAGCTAACTGTTTTATATTCTGTTGGGTAGCTTAATCTATAACATGTAACATATAGCTCATCATATGTTTGTAGGTAGAAATTGAAATCTGGAAAAGTAACTAGTAACTATAGATGTTAGATAAAGAGTGTGGATATAAAACAATATTTATACAATATCATTCAAATATTGAGGTGTACTAATTAAGAAGATAAAATAGAACTCAAGTAAAGTACAAGTAGAGCTGCAACAAGTTATCCATGAGGTGTCAACTTTTAAATTAATCGCCAACCAAAATCGATTAATCGGTTTGAGTCATTCTTTTAAATAAAAAATATCTGATTTCAACTTCTTAAATGCAAATATTTTCTGGTTTTATTCCTCCTGTATGACAGTAAAGTAAATATCTTTGGGTTATGGACACAACAAGAGATTTTAAGACGTCTTTTGGGGCTTTGGGAAACACTGATTGACATTTCTGACAATTTTCTGACACTTTATTGACCAAACAACTAATCGATTAATGGAGAAAATAATCAAGAGAAAACAATAGTTAGTTGCTTAAGAGCGGCAGTTGAGCATAAGTACTGTTATCATAATTAGTTGTTACTAATTAAAATATTAGAGTAATTTTCCTGTTGATCCTCATGAGCTCACAGCTACGGACTGGACAAGTATGAAAGACCAAATCACTGAAAATTGACAAATATCTCATTTTGTTCCTTAGTTACCAATGATTGATTAACCAAAATCAAATCAAATAATTCTAGATGCAAAACTTGGATGATAATACTTCAAAATACTAATTACTCAACCAATACACTGCTACACCTACTAATGTTTACAAAAGTAAATTTAAGATAATTTGAGACAAAAAATATAGACGCTATAGGAAATTCTTCCCATTCCGTGATTGATGTTTGAAATATTTTTGTTGATCTTTCCTGGAGCTGCAGAGCTGTGTGGACCCCCACGCACTTATTGTTGTGTGTGATGCACACAGGAGGCAGGGTGCACATGCTGCTTGGAAAATACTGTAGCTCGTAAATAGTTTGTTTTAAAAAATGAACAACAAAGAAAACTTATCTGAGATTCAAAATTTTCTGATGTGATCTGAATACAGACATTTCATTTCTGAATTATAAGGACATATTCTGAATAGACTGACTCAAAAAGAAAATCACATTTTTCTCCACCGAATAGTTATATTTAAGCATCACATTCCAAGGCATGTGTCTTTTTAGAAGCAGGTGGAGGTAGATGTCCGGAGCTGCTGCCTTACAGAGATTAAACAGACGGAGGAGAAATACACAGAGACCCTGGAGTCCATCGAGAAGGTACTAAACATCCTCTGATAGTCTGCTCTGCACTGAGATCACATATTGCTACATGAAAAACTTTAAATGGTAGATTTTTTTGATGTCAAATTATTAAATCATAGTCTCACCTAAGTGATTAATTATGTACTTTTTTCAAACATTGATGTTGATTATTGATTTGGGTTCAGTGGGCTACGTTGAACGATGTCGCCATTTTATGGTTATTTCAGGGAAAGTCCAAGTTATCAATTCCCTAATTTGACACGCTATGGTCATCTTATTTGATAGTGTGATGTCTGTTAATAGTTTCAGCATGCGTGCATTCCAGCTGTTGCAGTCATGTCACTGGTTGTTATGAATAACCATTCAGATTGTTTCTAGTTAAATAATCAGGTTGTGAGGGAATCTAAAGAGAAGAGCTGAAATGTTTCATTCAGGTTTTCAATTGTCTCTTTCTCCAGTATTTTCTAAATCCTCTGAAGAAATTCTTCTCTACGGCTGAAATTGAAAAAGTTTTTGTCAACATACCAGTAAGTCCCACAAGTTTCCCTTCGTGTCGCATGACATGAAAATAAAAAGTTTATGGCCACATGCTGGTGTCTTCTTTCTCTAATGCAGGACCTGGTTAAACTTCACAAGAGCCTGATGGTTGAAGTGCAGGACTCCATCCTAAACAAAAATGCCTTAAATCTCTACCAGATTTTTATCAGCTACAAAGAGAGGTATTCATGCAACAACATGTTTTTACATTTATTGTTAGGTGGCAGGGAAAGCATGTTATTTGACTTTTGATGTTGCTTTCCTTCACTTTCTCTTAAGTGAGTTTCTTGAGGTGCATTTATATTGTAAAAGACTGTAAGTTGAAAAAACTGAACTGGAGTGTTCCACAATGTCCTTGCCTTTTGTGCAGTTATGTGTCAGTAATCAACTTCACGTGTACAGAAGGTTTCATTTTAGGTTATCTAGACCTCTGCATTTCCCCTTGCAATTTGGTATCAATACATTGGCAGAAACATTTCAGTACGTTGTCTTTCAATACTGAGGCAGACATGTATACTTAATTAATGTCAGACATTTTGAACTGTGGATCTGTTCTGCACACAGGCAGTTTTACATTTGAATTATATGACAATCATCTGTGTGTGTGTGTGTGTGGCTTAGATTTTATGCGGTTTGTTCTATTTCAGTTCTCTATAAAAAGCAGGGTCAAACTGAAAGTACTACAAAATCTAGTAGAATAGATGTAGAATTTCATTGACACCTGCTTTTTGAGAACTAAGCCTATTGCCTAGAGGATGTCATGAGGATTGTCATTCATATCATGATGTAGTGTGGATGGCTGTCTTGCAATAGATTCACGATCAGAGAATCACATTATACCATAGTTATCACGAGCAACATGATTGCCACATATTATGAGTTACACTGTGAACTTTCTAAATTTCTGTAAGCACTGTATCACTGTTATGTTCAATCTTAAAGAATTTCCCCTCAGGGATCAATAAAGTATTTCTGATTTCTACACACACTTCACTCTTTCCTCTTTCCTCTGAATTGTAGACTGCTCATTTATGGGATATACTGCAGTCAGGTGGAGATCGCCATCGCTGTTTTAGACCTCATTTGCAAAGAGAAAGAGGATGTTCGTCTAAAACTGGAGGTAAAACATACCACCATACCTGTGGGCTCGGTGCATGCTAGAATATGAATATAATAGGAAACAAAAATATTTCATGCTCAATTTCACGTGGCAATTTGGTTTGTGACAAACTTGGACCCAAAGACAAATGAGGACAGATACATATAAGCTATAGCTAACAAATGTTTTCTGTCTTGGTTGACCCATCCTTGTGAAAAAGTCTCAGTGACATCAAAGAATGACTGTCATAAGTCACAAGTCATCTGCGTAATGCTCCTGCTCTGTAGCTCATGTTGCTATGAATATGTGTATTGTATTTGTTCCAGGAGTGCTCAAAGAGAGCCAACAATGGGAAGTTTACACTGAGGGACCTGCTGGTTGTCCCAATGCAGAGAGTCCTCAAGTACCATCTACTTCTTCAGGTAGGGTAGGCTTGGCACCATTTATTTAAAGCGTGAGTGTTAAACCACATGTCATGGAAAAGTGAGAGTCTGCTGGGTTTTTAAAAGAAAGCAGTTTATTTTAGATCAGCCCCCTAAGTATATAAGTGTGAAATCACCTGAATCTCGGTCTTGACACTTGTTTTGACAGCCCTGATTTAAATATGAGTGGGGAAAGTGAAAAGCAGCCCCTCCTTCATCACCACCAGTGAGGTGCCCTTGAGCAAGGCCCCTACTCCAACTGCATAGCTGCTCGATGGCCAGCAGATCATACTGTGGTTGCACTTCACAGCTTCCAGGTGTGAGTGTGTAAATGTGATCACGGTGTTCCTGAAATAAATAAAGGTTAAAAAAAGAAATATTTAGTCATTTTTCAATGCATTTGCTGAATGTCAGTGCTACTTTTCAGCAAGCCACTTAAAAAAAACCCAACTTTATTCATCTAATGGTTTTAATTAGTAGCTCCACTAGAACATTTG